TAATATTATCATTAATTACAAGTAATACTGTTCAACAAAAATATTAACCACGAATTAGATAAAATTTAAATATGTATTAACAAATAAGAATTGTAAATTATCTTTTCTTGAAATTGAAGTTGGTAAAAGAGAGTGCTCATGAATGTCATTGCATTAGCCTCTTTGCCGCCGATGATTTTTAATTGCCGATTTGTAGTAGCCGACGTAATTGTGTTTGTTATTATGTGAGGGTAATTTGTAATTGTCCTGGTTAAGAGCATAAGGTGTTGGCAACTAGTCATAACATTATTTTGGTGCCACCTCACATGCCACATCACCAATGGTGTTATAACACCAAGTGGGGAAATTGGCACCATGTTGCATCTTGTTATAACACCAATTTTTTTCATTTTATAATTTTTTTTTGAATTTTTTTTTGAATTTTTTTTAATTTAGACAAATATTTTTTAAATATAACATAATAAATAAAACATAATGTTTAAAAATTATAAATAACATACAATAAAAACAATTTTTAAAGATTAAATTAACATAGAAATTAAACTACACATAACATCCAAATTCCAAAAAAAAAAATACAACGCTATTCGTTATCGTTATTGTTACCATAGAAGATATAATCCGCCAAGTCCTCTCGAAGTTGTTTGTGTTTATTTGCATCCTGAATGTCAACAACTCGATGCAAATACTTTGTTGTTCCTGGTTGAAACTGAACGTGTCTGGACTCCGTTGGGATATAGTGTGCTATATTTCGCCATTTATCTTCTACTACCATGTTATGCATTATGATACATGCATACATGATATATCGTAGAGTTTCTAAATCCAATGGCCATGCTGCATGTTCAACTATATGCCACTTCGCCTTCAGCACTCCAAAAGCACGTTCCACATCTTTATGTGCTCCTTTTTGTCTTCTCTTAAAAAATTTGTCTCGTTCTTCAACCGGGTGGCGGAATGCCTTCACGAATGTAGAATACTGATGATATATTCCATCTGTAAGGTAATATCCATATTTGTATTTGTTTCCATTCACTGTGAAAGGAGCATCCGAGGCTTTTCCATTCAAAAGATCGTCGAATATTGATGATTGATCAAGAACGTTGACGTCGTTGTTGGAACCTGCAACCCCAAAAAATGCATTTCAAATCCATAAATCTTGAGAAGCAACAACCTCTAAAACCAACGAAGGTGATCCGTGATGACCACTTGCGTATTGCCCTTTCCATGCTACCGGACAAATTTTCCATTTCCAGTGTGTGCAATCAATGCTTCCGATCATTCCGGGAAACCCATGGCATTCTTCATGTGCCGCATACAATTCTTGCAAATCATGCAACGAAGGTTTCCGCAAATACTCGTCTTCAAATGTTTCAACAACATCCCTTGACAATGTATACAAACTCTCCCTTGCGGTTCTTTCGGACATTCTCATATAGTCGTCCATGGTGTCGGGTGACTCCCCCATAGCCATCAAACGAATGGCCGCAACACATTTCTGCAACGTTGTAAACCCTCGTCTACCTCTAGCATCATATCTTAATTGAAAAAATTCATACCTAAACATAAATTAACTACAGATTAAAAATATATTGCATATGTTGTAAAATTAAAGAAACATGTACTAGATTTTTATTTATTTTGTATAAAAGTATAGTAAAGAAGCGATACCAGCTTTCCAAGACGTTGGCGATCCGTAGGAACACATTCCTACTCAAACGAAATCTTCTTTTGAAGTCCTTCGACCCGTACACACAATTATCCGCAAAGTAATCACGATATAGATGTTCGTGTCCTTCCTCGCGATTTCTGTTTAACATCGCACGTCTTGTTTGTAGCGGGGATGGGTCTGGTTGTAGCAGGTCGGTAGTGTAATAATGATACATCATCCTGAAGAAAATATCGTCATCTGAATCATCGGACGAGTCGAAAGGGTCAATATTTTTTTTTGAAGATAATTGAAAGTATGTAGAGAGGAGAAGAGAAATTGTGTGAATTTTTTTATAAAATGGTAGGTATTTATAGGGTAAATGATTTTTTTTAATAGTTAATTTTTTTTATACCGTTGCCATTTAAACGTTTGAAAACGTTTAAATTTTGTACGTTTCATCCAGTTGCGACGCCAACGAGTTTCAATCTCGACGAGCAAAAACGAGTAGGGGGCGGTGTTCCCCCCGTCACGACGTCGTTAAGGCGTGCCACCTCACCCGGTTGCCTCTCGTTTTGGCCCCTACCGCATCGTCTAAACAAATTGTACTATAGAGGGCACTCGTGGGGTTAGGATGAATTTTGCTTTTGGGCTTAAAACAATTAAATGAGATTTATTACTACTATTAGTTTATAACCCGTGAGAATCACGGTTATAAAATTAATTAAACTTTTATAGTAAAAACTTAAAATTATGAAACAGTTATTTCAAATAAATTATTTTAAATAAATTATTAATTAAGAGATATTTTTTTGGTTATATAAAATTATAATCGTTAATTTAAATAAATACATGAAATTATATCACCTTATAATATATATTAATTTTATTTTATTTTTTATTCGAGTATTATTAATTTAATGTAATTAGAGTGTGAAATTTAAAATTTAAAATTTGAAATGAAGAATCAGTTATTAATTTAATATAATTAGAGTGAGAAATTTAAAATTTAGATTTTGAAATGGATAATTAATAGGTTGACATATGACATAATAGTTGACATATAATATTAATGGAGATTTCTAATATTATGACACTTATCAATATGAGAATAAACTTATTTATTTATTAGAATAGGGATAAACAAAATAAAAGAATATCAGAGGGGCAGCGCACGTGCTAGTCCTCTTATTTCCTCTGCAATAATAGATACATGATTTTTAAGGGCAACATTGTAATTTTTTTATAACAGGTAAAAACTTTCCTTAAATGTTATCTGAAATAAATTTTGAATTAAAAACGTTTTGTTCTAAAATAAAAAAAAAAATTTTGAAATCGTATTTTCAAACGAGACTTTTTTTAATCAAAATTTCTTTTTAAAAGAAGTTAAATTTTCTGAAAAGATCGTTGTCAAACGCACTAATACCTTTTAAGAAGATATTTTAATTTGGTTTCTATGAGATTCTCTCTTCTCTTTCGTAACATATCATAAAATGAAGAAAATAGCATCAATTGCAAATCGTATCTTTACGCAGAGCCAAAGGAGGTTTGTAAAGTATCAATCACATCTTAACCTATTTCCAATTCCCTTAAGGCATTGATGTCTGGTTTTATGATTGAAAATGACAAAAATAAAGAACATGGTTGATGAAGGTGTTGTCAAAATCACTATCGGTTTCAACGAGAGAAAAATGTGTATTTATCACTCTGAAAATGAAAAAGGGGGAGTATATATACACCTAGCTAATACAAAGGTAACAATGGTTCCTAAACAAAGTATAAATACGAAACTAATTATAAGTATGTTAAAGACATCTATAATGCACTGAACATATTAGAGTATGATGGATTGATATATCATTATTTTAATTTTTATAAAACTCTATATTAATTTTCCTATAATGTATTGAATTCTACAAAGTTCAATGAAATATATTTTTAATAATTAAAAAGTTTCATTTTTCAAATTGAATAGTTCAACGACCATTGACGTCCATATTTATTGAATGCCAACATGACATCTCACAATAATATAGTTTAATCTATTGAATGACAATTAGATATGTCACATCATTCAATTCTCCTACCGAACCATGCATTATGGATGCTCTAACCCCATAGTAGATATAGAAAGCATATTAATAGATATGTTGAAATTTAAGCAATGAAATTAATTGCTTAATATATTTAATGTTTTCATCAAATAAATTGTTATGATCAATTCTTGATAGCATTTTGCTTAATATCAACATTCAGCAACAACACGATATGAGAAAAATAAGGAGCATTTATATTGGAAAGAAGCCATCAAAGTGAGAGTAGTTCTTGAATAATATCAACAACACAACACCACGATAGTCACCTTCAATAAATTTGCTATATAATCTAAAGCTTGATTATATTATTTTTATTTTCAAAAAATTATTATTTTTTATTATAATACTACCTGAGATATTCAATTTACTTTTAATTTAGTAAAAACTTATAAACTAACAAATTATTTTTTTTTCTCGACAGTTAAATATAAGGTAACTATATAAAAACTAGTATAACTTCGGAATTTTTGGTTTGACCACCTGAATAATTTTTTTTCTAATTTACCATAAAATTTTATTATTAAAAGGGGAAAAAAAAAAAAAAAACTCTTAACCGGGCTATAGAATAGGGTTTCCCTATAATATTTAGGGAAATTATATGGTATCTTTCGTCTTTTTGGTTAACCACCTACATGCTTTTTATTTTAATCATGAAAACTTTGTATTTTGCATTTTTTTTGTGTGTGGGTGGGTGGGGGGGGGGGGGGGGGGGGGGTGGGGTACGCGGGGTTCGTCTTTTTTTGTTATTACTATTTGTAAAAATTTCGTTTTTTTTGTCTTTCCATTTTTTTCCTATAAAACCAAAATTCAAGCCAACTTATTTTCCCCCCTTTTTTTTCGCTTTTGGTTGGATTTTGATTTTTTAAGCACGCCTTGCAAATAAGGGTGTATTATGTAGCTGTTGAATGCTTATCTAAATCTAATGATTTTGACTTTAGATTTTCTCTTTCAGCATATCTAATCGATATAATGCACCAAATAATGTCTTAGCGATGATGGATAATAGAAGTTTTATATGATATTACTGCTTTTATAACATTGTGTTTGCATGATTACCGGATTGTGATGTTGCTTGTGAACAAAATTTGGATTAAACTGATAGTAAATCTTTATGATTTTCACCTGTAAGTCCAAGTATTTCTTAAAAGCTAAAATACATCAATTAACTGCTCAAATGTAAAACAAAAATGAGTTGATCCAGAATGAATTCAGTAGTTAGAAAAAACTGCATTTCCATAGACATGGATGCACAAATGTGTGGCTTACATTGAAGAACATGCATCCATGACCTAATTTCTACGTCAAATTGTCAATCTGTAAAAACACCCAATGCGATTACGCAAAAATTCAAAGCAATTACCACACGAACAACTTAATTTGATGTTTAAATTTCCATCCTCAAGTCGTCTGAATCTCACAAACTCCCCTCTCACTTCCTCTTCCTCTTGCTCCACGATTGCCTAAACACATTTACACATCAAATCTTTATAAATTAATTGATTGATTAAAAAACAAAAAACACGATTAAAAAATGGAGTTTAATTACTTCAGAAGGATTGCCATCTTCAACGTCTTCTTTTGATTCTCCAATTTTACCTCTAACTTCCCAACACCTGTTTTCGATCTCGGACACCATTTCGTCCGTTTTCTTCAGTCTCTGTTTAAAGAAAGATTAGTCGTCTTCTGTGAAAGAAAATAAAGAAAGATTGTTATTCAAGAACACAACGACGACGAACCTTGAATTGGGGACTCTCACTTCGATTTGAAGACGCTGGCGCCGGTGTGATGGGTTTCCGAACAGTTGAAATGGTATCAGACAATGTCCGGCGAAGTGGGTTTCTTCTTGGTGGCTCACGGGCCTTCTGAGGCGTTGAGGTGGTGGTGGTGGTGGTTGTATGTTCTTGATCGGGAGATGTAACGATGTCTGATACAGTTGGGCTGATTGCGTTGTGGGCATCGACGGCGGGAGTGGCCGCTACTGCATCGCGGAAAGAAGTTGCCGGAATGGTGAAAATTGGACGGCCATTAGCGGCGGCGAGGTGTGGGTCTGGAGTGGTTGTGTCAGTGGGTGGGATGTTTAGTTTGGTGAAGCCAGGGAGATGATGAGGGGTGTTTCCGGTAAGGGTTGTGGTGGATGAGGATGGTTGGTGGCGGAGTTCATCGGTGAAACCGGTGTTGGTGGGTGGCAAGAAGCCACTAGTTTCTTGATCGCTGTTCATTTCTATCAATTTAACCAAATACTATTAACTCTCAATTCAATTACGGAATAATTGAACCCTATTTATACTGCTATTAAACTACGTTTTACTTTTTTTTTTCCTCTTAATATATGCAGCAAAATTATTTTCCAAATGAAGTATTCAACCAAGTTTCAATTTCACATGTTTAAAAATTATCTACATAATTTACGGACTATATTTTCTTTCTTATTTTAATAAATAAATAAGTTTATTTTTTTTATTGATAAGTGTCATAATATTAAAAATCTTCATTAATATCATATGTCACATGTTATGTCACATATCAACTTATTAATTCTCCATTTAAAATTTACCACTCTAATTACATTAAATTAATAATTGATTCTTCATTTTAAATTTTAAATTTCACATTTTAATTAAATTAAATTAATAACATTATAATAAAAATTAAAATAAAATTAATATATATTATAAGGTGATATAATTTTATTTTGTTTATTTAAATCAACGATTATAATTTTATATAACTAAAAAATATTTATTAATTAATAATTTATTTAAAATAATTTATTTGAAATAATTAATTAATAATTTTGAGTTTTTACTATAAAAGTTTAATTAATTTTATAATCGTGGGTCTCACGGGTTATAAACTAATCATTCCTAATAAATAAAAATGATTTTGTCACATGACATACTTTTATTGCATTTGACATATGTCATTTTTTACGATTTTTTGATTTTTTTTTCCACTTTTCATTTTATGTTTTTTTTCTATTTTATTTAATTCCACGTCATATTCTAATGTAATAAATGTATAACAAATGCATATCAATTTCATTAATACATCTTCCTCTTAATTTCTAGATTTCTAAATTGAATCTAATTATTTTATTTGTTTGTTTATTTAAATTACTTGTTTAAATTTTAAAAGAGAAATGAACAATTCAATTTCAATAATTCAATGTTTTTTTTTCATTTTTCTTATAAATTCATACTTCTAAATGTTAATATATCTTTATATTTAATTTTTTATAATAAACCCGTGTAATACACGTATCTTACAACTAGTAAACTAATAAAAATAATAAACACACACAACAATAAATATGGTATTTAAGTATTATTAGACCCCAAAACCTCATTTATGAATTCTTATGTTATTCATGGACTATCTGTAACATCCTGTTTCAGATCGTTTTGCGATTCAAGGCTCGTGGGCCGTAATCCGAGTATGAGAAGGTTTTGAGGCTTTGAAGGAGAAAGGTTTAGGCCCTTTGTGGATAAGGGATAAGGTAGGTTGTGTGATGAAAGGGTTCGGGTTGTGCTTTAGAGCCCAAGAGCATAAGTGAAGGCATTGGCGCGATCTTTTATGAAATTTGGGTTTTTGTTCGTGGAGTTTTGAGGCATTGATGAGTTGCTAGAAGCGTAGGGCTTCTCGCCACCTTTCCGTGGATATAAGGTTTGTTCAAAACAGACTTGTAACAAAGAAGTTATGATAGTTTGAAGTTTTGGCAAAATTGGTCCTTATTGAGAAATAGGTGGCAATTGGGTACGCGGGGCGTACACTTGTGTACGTGCAGTGTACTCCTGCGCTTTGCATGATCGCGAAAGCCACCTAATACGCTGGGCGTACTAGGTCCAGAAAGAAACCCTAATATTTTAAGGTGTCCCTATTTAAGGAACATGAAGGCCTCATTTTCAGCCACCATTTCTAGCCTCCAACTCCCCTCAAACCCTAAATCTTGTCCAAGCTTTTGGATCTGAGTTATACTATTGTTGGTGCATCTTCCAGATGTATCAAGTTCGAAACTTACTCATTGTTGTGATAGTTCTAGTTTTTTGGTCCATTTTAAGGTTTTGTGTCCCAAGGTTTGAGCATTGTGAGTTTGGTGAACTCCAAAACAAATCCCATGTCCTTTCATGAGTATTTGGTGGTTTAGATTCATAAAAATGAGATTTTGGTCGTCTAGACCTCTCCATGCATGTGTTAAGATGAGTAAAGAGAGTCTTAATCGTTATTTTTGGAAGTTGGATCCTATTAAGACATGCAAACTGATAAAGTCGCCAACTTTATCAGTTAGGGACTTGTAATGAAGCTTCCCTGAGGTTTGGATGCTTTGTGCTGAAGTGGTTAAGACGAAAATTGAGGTTTGTGGACCAGAGCAGTACGCCCCGCATAAGGTACAGTACGCCCCGAGTACTGAATTAAGTCTCCCGATCAGGATTTGCCGGTACGCTGAGCGTACCAAGGGAGGTACGCCCCGCGTAATATCGTTGTGGGCTTTTTGGGCTAGATCTCGTTTTGGGCCTTAAGTGTTGGGTCTTGGTTTGGGCTTGATGTATTGGAGATTTTTGGTCAGAGGAATATATATATATATATATATATATATATATATATATATATATATATATGTCTTGGACCCTTGTGTTGGGCTTGCCATTTTGGACTTAAGTTTAGGGTTGGGCCTTGTGGGCCCATTTGGTATTGGGCCTTGGTGGGACCAATGGGCTTGTGTTATTTATGGGCCCGGTTAGTGAACCATTTTAGACTTAATATGTAGGGGCTTGGTCTTAGATCCTAATTGGGTTAATTGTGGGGTTGGCTCAATGTTAGAGGTTGGTGTGCAACAACAACATTTATAGGATCTGTTCATCATCCGAGGTGAGTCTTCTCACTATACTTACCTGTGTGGTAATGCATGAGTGACTGGAGGGTCTTATTTGTGTTATTGACCGGAGGGTCTTATTTATGTTGTTAACCGGAGGGTCTTATTTATATTATTGACCAGAGGGTCTTATTTGTATTACTGACCGGAGGGTCTTATCTGCTTTATGTGTTATCCTGCATTCTGTCTTTGTGACTTGTGCTTTTATATATTCTGTATATATGTTGAGCTATGACCGGAGGGTCCATACCGAGCTGTGAGATCGGAGGGTCTTCACTGAGACACATGACCGGAGGGTCCTATTCGAGACATAGCCATGATAGGCTAATAGTTTGTGTATGTGGTATTTTGGGGAACTCACTAAGCTTCGTGCTTACCGTGTTAAGTTAAATGTGTTTCTGGTACTTCTGTAGATTCCGGGCAGGCGGAGGCATGATTGTACACATCCGTCGGCTGATGGAGATTTGAGTATTTTGGGATACTTTGATATTGTTTGATAATAACTTACAATTTATGTGATGACTTGAATTTATGAGTAATATTTTGAGAATTAAAAATGAAATTTTGTCTTGAAATTTAAGGTGTTACAATTTGGTATCAGAGCCTTGGTTTGAGGGATTTGAGCACACCCTCGGGTATGTCTGGACTCAAACTGAGGAGTTGATAACTTTTCTAAAGAAAATGATTTTTCATCATACGATTTTTCAAAGAGATTAAAAAGTTTTGAAAAAAGATCCAAAGCGGTGTGTACAATCAGCCAGAGCCCGAGTGGTGATTTCCCAAAATACCCTTACTTGATTATGTGTTGTTATTATGAGCTGATAGAACTACATGCTAGTTTTGGGCTAGGGATCTGCTCAGAATTTCATGCTAGTGTGCCTGCTTAGGAGAGATGCTTTTATGACTGTTATGTGAGCTGGTAGTGTTGCATATGTATGATTAGAGATCTCCGAGGAGTTGAGAGGTAGGATTGCCTGATTTCGGTGATGCCTTTTGTGTTGTGGATAGAGCAATTGGGGTTGAATTCTAGAGTGACTTTATGTGCTGATGGAGGTGCTTTGATGCCCGAATACTGCTTGATTTGTGGTTTGTGGAACTCATGAGTGATGTGAGTTAGTTATTAATTGAATATGTCAAGTCACATGTAAAAAGGTTGGATAATCTCAGAGTGCCGGACTTGACCCTGCTGCGCAGCTCTCGTCTGAGTCCAACCGTTGTAGGGATGAGTCTGTTACTCGAAGGATTATATGAGCTTTGTTGCATGTGATTTTATTCATGAAATAGCTAATTGACATTGTGAGGAGTTCTCCAGCAACTGATGACAGAGAAGTGTGGGATCCTAGGAGAGCCTAAGGAGTAATTTCATTCTGATGATTGCGTTGTTTAGAGGTGAGTATTCGCTGGGGAGCGAGCATGTGGAATGGGATTGGTATATCGAGAAAGTTGAGCAGCTACTTAGGAAATCTTGGGACGATCCTTGAGGAAAGTATGGGTAGATGTGGAAGTTAGTATTGGGCCCGTACTACTGAAACCAGAGGACCCATACTTGAAACAAGGAGAATTCTAGAGGTTTTAAGTAGCAGGTTGAGGGGAAATAACATGGTTTTGGGTACCATGATTCATATCAGAGTGTGTTTCCGTCTTTACCGGTTATCCTGCTGTGGTTGTTCAGACTGAGAGTGGATATGGTAAATTGTGGGGCTAGAGGGCCATGTTGGTCGAGCTTAAATAAAGTATACCTTGCGAGAAAATTTGAGTTTAGGTCTTGAGGGATTTGACTGGTGAGGTGCCAGTTGGAGTCGCAAGACTCAAAAAAGGAAGTGGAGATGATGCGTTGTGGAGGATTGCAGTCGGAGTTGAGTGATCGGCCGATGGATTGTGATGGTAATTTCTAGGACGAGAATTATATTATTCCCGCTTTCCGTTTTGGAAGGGAGGGTGAGTGAGCTTCTGATTTCAGAGATTAAAGGAAGACCCCGTGGGGTACCAGATAGTGGTGGTATCAGCACCAAAGGGATTTTTGTGGTATGAGTGCCTTCGGTTATTCCTTATGCCGGGAGGGAGTCATCAGTGGGGACTGTGACATACAAGGACAAGGATGCGCCTTAAATGAGTATGGTAAGGCGTATTCTAGCAACAGTTCCAGGTAACCAGGGGGAGTATCTTGGGACGACAACCTTTGTGTCTATGCTGCGAATCGACTGTGAGAGTGAGGTCTCCTGTTTCTATGTCGATGCTTGTGATGGGGTGCTGATTGAGGATTCAGAGAATGAAGTGTGCGATAGTCCATTATTTCCAGAGAAAGAGTCAATGTTATTTTAAGACTGTCGAAATATTTGCCTATGCAGCCGGATGAGATTCTGGGTGACTAGA